ACGCAAAGAAGTCCCGCCTCCATATTCGTGGCTAGGAATTTGTCTACGCAAAATAGTTAGCCCCGCAGGCGGGCCGGACAACCAAGTTCCCGTGATACAGTACTGGCTCAGCAACAGTCATAATAGCATCAAGTAAGACCCTTAGCGATGAACGCTTGTGCTTTGATTGCGAATCAACGGCGTCCCATGAATACTGTCCTCCCTGAGATTATACTATCCAAAACGTCGGGCAAATAAACCCTGTTGTTCCAACTATATTACTTTGTTCTTCCTCCGAATTTTTTCCAGGAACTCGCTTGTACGATTCTATCAGGAAATCAGTGTGCCAAAGAGAGACACGCAGGATTAATAAAAACCAGCCACACACCCAGTACATTTACATAGCACTACTGCAATAAGTTATCAATCAGAGACCATAAATAACAACCTTGCATTTCCATTCAGCGATTTGAAGAAGTCAAGAACTGTCAACCCCTAGGCTCCGCTTAGCAAAATGTCAGAGAAAAAGCAAACGAACATAAAGGCAAGAAATCAGTGGTGGGGGCATGATTTACTTCTCATAGGGGCCAACATAGGTCGGTTAGCCGAGGAGGCGTTATTTGGGAGGGCAGAATAATCAGGCACTCTGGGTTCCAGGTAGTCCTCTTGTGAGGGTTGACTCGTCGGCATCTCAGGTGGCGCAACCACTGGAACGTATTCATCGTCCATCTGCGCTGCACCGGTGGGACTAGGGCGCACCCCGGAACCCGCCTCCTGCCGCACCCATCGTCCGTAAACTCCCGAAGGTGGTTGTGGAGACCGCGCTGCCGGTGAGAAACCGGTAGTATTATAGTAGAAGCGCGGAGTCTGGCGACCTTCGAACTCTCCAATCATTGGTGCGCCAGGATCTGAAAGAGGGCAGACAAACTCTGTGAAAAGCAGGGAAAATAGGTCTCATAAGTGGCCCAAAGTAGCAACTAAACGGCTCGAGGACCGGGTGCAGTATTCCCTTTAATGGCGTCTTCCTTGGGGGATCGGACGTTTTTTCGCGCGGCATTTAACCTTCAGCGTTAAAAATGATTCACTCAGTACCGTGGCATCCGAGAAGAACAATTTTTAGAAAGATCTCTTAGTTCAGAGTCATAATAGGAACATTAACATAACATGGATCTAAATAGTTTGTTTGAGAACAAGCGAAAGCTTCCTGGAAATGTGCATAAAATGTTCTACTTAAGTGTAAAGAGTTGCCAGATTAAGTAGTTACGCGTAGAAAATGAAAGTTAAAGAAACTAGTTTGGTAATCCGTTGATTTCCTATAACATCGCGGGATCTGTGGACTGCCTAATTTCTGCGTATATTCCCATGTTTAATTTGAAAAGCTTATTCGGCAAACATATTTTCAGTAATTCGTCATCAGACCAGTACAATTGCAGTCTAGGTGAGTAATCGGGCATGCGTGCGGCAGTATATGTGCATACAACTTCTACGTAATCTCATTAGCCAATACAATTTCCGCGATACAGCAGCAGACCTGTGCGAGAACTCCCTTAAACTTCAAGAAGCCTTATCTCACCTAGGCGTTCCCAGATCCTCATTTGTGCAGGCAGTTATCGGCGTCTTAAAGGAACTATGCGAGGGCTTTATAGCCATGCATACAACAGCGGCATTTAAACGCAAACTAAGTGTGGTTTTACTTGAATAGTTCCTTTAAACAGTTCAGAAATGCGCTAATACAGTAAACCACCGGTTTGTTCAT